ACCGTGGATGGTACATGTAGTAGAAAGGTCACTGTTTCCGAACACGGTGTCCTCCAACTAATACTTGTTTCATGCTGTCAAACCAACAACATGTACATGTATGTACAATGTACATACTCAATCTGCGGACAGAACTGTTTCGTCCTTTGTGGACAGAGGAAATGAGGCCGAACCTGGTAGCAATGAAAAATAAATTTTCCGAAGCCAGATTTAAACCAGGCCCGAACGTACTAGTACTGTACATTGCCCGAGTGCTCAAACTGACAAGTCAGTGAGCTCTGCATAGCGCCAACAGCAAAGGCACTACCCCACGCAAGAGTGCTCAACTGCTACAAGAGCAGGAGCGAAATACTCAATCTGCGGACAGAACTGTTTCGTCCTTTGTGGACTCGTCAGCGCAGCACAGAGGAAATGAGGCTGAAATGATTGTATGGAACTCCACACTGGAAATGTGCTAACATGGCTGTATACTGTTCACTGCTGTCAGTGCTGAGGAGCTCATGTCTACAAGTCATATCCCACACAAAGACTACCTTCGTCTTAGCATCGAAAACTCTGCATCGAAAACGAAGCTGGAGTGCCAAGGTGGCACCAATCCAAAACAGTTACTGCTTCCGCGATCCACCGGTCCTGTACAATGTCATGCTACAGTCCTGTACTGATGTACTGAGTCTGTCGTGGACCTGGAAATCCGGTCGCACGGCTAGCGGCCCGAGGGCGCTGGCCATGCAGCCGTGGGTAAGCAGTGCACACATGCTGCAAGCCTGCAGCCCGCTGGTCGCATCGGATCAAGTGATGTTCTGTACGCGCTGAGGGCGCCGGCCCCGGCCAAGCGACTGGATTTCAATGTCCACGACAGTAGGTAGACACACAGTCAGTACGGCCGTTCACGATACATACACAACACTACAAAAGTCATTATGTACATGTCTACAAGCATGCCGCCCAGGCAGGTTACTACTGCTAGTCTTAGTAAGTAACTAATTAAAATATTTAGTACATGACCAGACATGTAGTAACTGTTAGGTGACTGGTTGGTGGGGTAGGGCTAGGTCGGGCTGTTTTCAGACTCACTTTACATTTCTCCCGCCTCCGGGACACGCCACGATCAAGTCCTGTTGTGTCCTGTTGTGCCCAGTACTAGTACTAGTACAGTCGTCCCTCTCTAATCCGGCACTTTATAATCCAGCACCCTCGATAAACCAGCACAATTTTCAGTAGCCAAAATGTCCTCTTCATGCACATTGCAGCAGTAAATCAGATTTGTTAATCCAGCACCCTCCCTAATCCAGCAGATTTTCGTGGCACAAATGGTGCCGGATTATAGAGGGACCACTGTAGTAAATCTACCAGTCAGTAGATCTCCAGACCAGTTACCATGGTTACAGTACAGTCCAAGTCAGTGAGCTCATGAGCTCAACTGACATGACGTGTAGATCTACCACAGCTGCTGCGCAGATAAGGCCGCACCCGGTACTAGTACCCGGAGTTGGGTCATTGGGGGTCTGACAAGATCAGCATCGGATGAATGTTGTTGTACGGGCCTACTCGGTGGTACTGACTGTGGTAGATCTACAAGTACATGGTGGTGTTCAGCTCGACAGCAGCCGAGTCCGGGTCTGATCTACAGAGACCATCCTAAAAAATTAATAGAGTTGTGTGCAGATTGTAAAGTTTCATTTTCTTTTTATTTAATTTTTTGGTTTTGCTTTGCTTTGTAGTTGTTGCGTCAGGCCAGTGAAATCATGTTCTGTGATTGCCGTATACATGACTTGTACTAAAGAGGCTTTACAAATAGAAAACAGAAAAAATGCCACAGCAGGGGAGGTGTCGATCTGCCCAGCTTCCGTGCACACTTCAAGTTCGAAGACCTGACCGCCGCCCCGGTATCACTACTATCAGTGCATCCGACCAAACCACTGCGTCTGTACTCCAAGTCCAAGCCTAAAAAAAGGCTGACTTTTTATCTCAAGCGCGCCAGTGCAGCATGCGGTCCAATGAGACTCTTGCCTCTTGTCTTGACCTTCACTGCATGCAACAAAGTGGGGAAAGCTGAGATAGATAAGATTTTTAAAAGAGCAAAACCATAGTCGTGATAAAAACTTCATGACTGAACTTATTACTATTACAGTCGTCCCTCTCTAATCCAGCACTTTATAAACCAGCACCCTCGATGAACCAGCACAATTTTCAGTAGCCAAAATGTCCTCCTCATGCACACTGCAGCAGTAAATCCGATTTAATCCAGCACCCTCCCTAATCCAGCAGATTTTCCGTGGCACAAATGGTGCCGGATTATAGAGGGACCACTGTACCAGGTGAGTAGGTGCTGGCTTGCAGGGTCGGTAACATCCACTGCTCGTACTCGTATGACCCGGCTGGCAAACTTCACATCGGCGCGGCTGCAAACTCCTCTCACCACTATTGTTACTTAAAGCCTCTTGTACGGGCAGAATGAATTGCACACATCATCAAACAAATTCAAGTAAATGCTTACATCAGCACATACGAGTAGTGATACCGGGTTTGAAAGTATTTTCCTCTTCACCACATTTAATACTGGCAAAGAACGGGCGCCAGACTTGCAAGCCAAGAGAGAAGAAAAGTAAGTATATTGCTTTTATTTTACATCACAAGTCAAACGGGCAATCATGCCCAATGTTATGATGACGATGGAAAGGGAGAAAAGATTAAGAACAAGATTAGTTATCCTGGATTATGGGGAGTGAAGAATACAGTGAGTCTAGGAATCTCTCCTTAGATCATCTTAACATTGGTCATGAAAGTAAACTTTCAATGGACGTGAGAGTTGAGATGTGCTAGGGCAGGCCAACTAGAGGGGAATGCTAGGCTGTGAGATTCCGAAGTACATGTACATCTATTCTGTGTTTGTTTTATGTAATGCATTGCAATTGCAAATCCAAGGACAATCATCCCCAAACGGATAAAATCTAAGACAACCTGGATAGGTGTAGTAAAGAAAACAGTGAGTATGGAGAACTCTCGGGATAGGGAACATCCTAGCATTAGCCATTAAAGTAAACTTTCAATAAACGCTTGAATCGGCATGTGGTAAGGCATGACTTTTTAAAGGACGAGGGCAAAAGATTCCACAACTTACAATTTGTAGCAGCAGCAACAACTGGGTTGTGAGATCCCGAAGTAATGCGGATGTAATGTTGGGAAGAGGCAGATTGCAGGCATCCTGACCTCTGGTGGCACGGGGCAGTGAACTGTATTCCAGGCGTGATTTGAGCAGCAAACTGACATTGCCGTGAAGAATGCGGTGTACGAGAAGCCGCAACTAGTTACTTGCAATCCGCCCGCTCGACAGCCGGACAAGTGCCGAGTTGGGTATATAGCTGCATAGTGTGGGCACGCGAGGGCTGGGTTGTGATCCAGCGGATGCAGCGCTTATCCAGTCTGATGAGGGTCTGTTTGAGGCTTGCTGAGAGGCTGGCGAAGTAGGCGTTCGAGGCGTAGAGTAGGTCAGGTAGGATAAGACTGTGTAGTAAAGGATGGACTCCGCACGGGTGATGTGATGTCTGCTCTGATTGTGTGTAGTTGTGCAGCTAGTACAGTAGGTCTACCTTGACGTAGATAGATTTACATACATGTAGCTACTGCTGAGTGCTGGTCCGTAGACTGACTGTAGCTGGTATGCTCCTGTTCGGAGCTCCGGAGGGAAAGAAACCTCAACATAATCATTGCGCCTCAACATCGCGCCTCAACACCGCGCCTCAACATCGCGAGGAGACTCATAATCATGGAAAAGACTTTTAAAACGTACATGCCCATGATATGATGCATGTCGTATCTGCACCAGTGAAATCTCCGGAGCGCGACAAAGAAGTACTACATGTAGTAGTACTAGTACAGTAGTAGTAGATTACGTTTTTGATTCACGTGAGAGGTAGATGATGAATGAAGTAGGTGAGTGAGATACTGTACTGGCTACAGACTCTAGCCTTGGTGTATTATTCATAAAGTGCCCATACATTTTGTTTATCACTACATGTAATATCAGGCTCCAATCAGATCCTGTCCAGATCCGTGGTCACGGACCTGTACCAGTAGAGTCGACTAGTACAGTCAGTAGACTCTACTAGATCAGTAGATGTAGCTGCGCACTGGAAACGCGCAGGGTCGACATGACAAACGTCATTGTACATCGGGGCGTAATTGGTAACCGACATTTGACGGAGCTCGCGCGACTTCTGATTCATCACACGCGCACCATGTCGGCGTTCGTGCGTGTTCTGTGATCTAGTCTACTGTCTAGCCTCTACTAGTACTGTATACAATGGTATAGCCTTTATAGGTCCTGGAACCAGAGCGCGAATCCGTGAGGTAGCAGTCACTTCTTCAAAAAGCTTTTCTTTGTCTCTGACACTACAATCATGTACAATGATTATGTACATGTAGCACGCGTCAGTACTAGTAGTGCAGTGGTCTTTCAGTTTCAGCACTAGCAATGTAGTACTGTACTGTAGTAGTATCAGTAACTGTTTCAACATTGTGAGAGCTTTCAGCGAGAGTTTCCTGGATGTGCTTTGGATCGAACACTACCGATCAGTGACTACATGTATCATAGCTGGGTGATACTGATAAAACCGATAGCCGTAAAAAAGTGCGAATCCCTGGATTGTGTGCTGTCCTCCGACGGACGTGTCGACTTTCTCGTGGCCGCCGGCCGGACTTGACGCTAGGAGCATATCAGCGCTGTTAGCGAAGGTGCTTCCTTCCGGAGAAAGCAGATCTATCATCTCACGCAACCTCCAGCTAGCTTGTCATCGCACTGACTGAGCGCCGTGTCGAGTTCAGGTGAGCGAGAAGTAGATGAAGACTTGAAGAGTTAGTGGTGCATGGCCTTTGTGTTATTGTTGTGAAACGATCTGTTCGCTGAGGTATTGTATGCATGGTTTGCCTGCATCGTCTTGTACTTGTGCACATTGTGATAAAGCCGGTAGCCGTTGTCGGTGACCTAGATAGATCTGTGCGGGCATCCATTAGCCGAGACACCAGCACTCGTACTTGTATCGCCGGCCGCACACTCCCAGCTGAAGCCCAACTCAGTCCTGCCGAGCACACAGCGCGAGTCCAGTCGATGGCAGCGTTTTGGCCACACACAATGCATAACCCAGTTCATCGGCGTGGCTATCGGCATTTCTGTAACCTTTCCAATGTTTTTTCTCTTCGACCTCGTGGCGTGCGCGTATTTTCAGCTCGATAAACTTGTAAACACACACACTGAGAAATGGCGATTACATGGGAGCGCCTTTGACAAGCCACTCGTGTGTGTGCTGTGGCATGTGATCAGGTGGTGATGGGGTGCTTGTTGGAAAGGTGCGAAGATCTGTTTGTGGCCAGATCACAGTCATGTTCACTGCGGGTAAATGCAGTAACCTCGGAAACATCACTTCCGACGTCGTCGACGGTCGGTCGTCCTTTCAAGGCTTTTGTTTTGATGCAGGGTTGCACTAACTGACAGTACTGCACTGCTCCGCTGATCAGTGATAGATGGCATTTGCAGAACGTCGTTTTTTTGCAGTATTTCTAGTTTTCAAGCTCGTCTTCATTACTACATTAGCAATCTCAGGGAGCGTGCTATAGCAGCAGGGCTTGCAGTTATACAAACGATTTGAACGTTGAGATTCCTGCGCTAAGCTCTCGTACTTGTCGCGGCGGTGAACAACTGACAGTCCTCTGGTGCTCCGCGTTCCCATTGGAAAATGTAGCAGAATAAGAAGGTGGTGGTGACGGTAAGCGATCGATTATAGGAGGACGGATTGAAATCGTGTCAAGGCTACACTAAAGAGCAATCATTGTGTCAGTTTTGCTGATTAGAGCACCTGATAATAATGGGGCAATTAGTGAACCACTGCACACTCTCAGTGTAAACGAACCAGTCTCTGTGATGGAGCCAGTTGTGCTCTGAGTCTTAGGGCGGTCAGAGCATCGTAAAACCGCTGAAAGTGTGGACGGTAAAACGTTGTGCTTGTTTGATGGCCTGATTTAGATGTCTACTCAGACTCAGAGGAAGGACGTGTATTTCCCCTGTACAACGCGACAGTGCATGACTGTACTGTATTCCACACTGTCAGTGTATGTTTCCCCTGTCAATGACAGTGCATACCACACTGTGTTTGTATGTTTCCCCCGTGATTGCAGCCTGGGCTATTATTATAATTATGGAAATTTCCCCTGTACAACGACTATGCATGTATTTTACTCTGTGTGTATGTTTCCCCCTGTACAATGACAGTGCATGGCACACACTGTGACACAGGCACACTGTTTGAATGTTGGCCCAGGCTATACACAGTGTCAGTAAAGTCATGCACTACACTATTACGGGTACTACTACTAGTGGCGCGTCCAGTGAAATCTGGCTTGCTTGACAGCACACACTGTTTTCACAGGTAATTGTGGCCGGTTAATGGTCGAAAGTGACGGGCTGAGATCTCTCTAGCGGCTCTGGGTACAGTGTCAATCGTGCCACAAATGTAGTCAGAGCAGAGAGCAAGTGCACACACAGGTTGGAATATCCGGTTGGGCTAGGAACCGGATAGCCAAACAGCCACACGTGTGTTACACTGCATTCCCGGTTTGCTCCCGGTAGGATTTCCATAGTGGAGCGAAAAGCCGGATAAAAGAGGGTCAGATAAGCAGCATCTAACATTGGAGGCAGAACTAGGTTTGAGCTGCAACTGGACGTTTGGACTGAGCTCTACCTACCTGTATCGAGTACCAAGGCCCGTGTGAACAGAGGACGTTCACCCACTGTGTAAGCAATGTCTGTGGTATTACCACATCGAGAAGGTCACTGGATAGTATGCTGTTGTATGACAGTGTTTGTGCGCTACTCATTTCCCAGAAAATTCAACACGGCCGTTTAAAAGCACAACGCAGATTGTGTATTGTCGGCCAGTGCCGTTCTGTACTCTTCGTGCTCTATGTTAGCCGGTACTGTGGGATTGACGCTTGTACGTGTGTGTGCGTGTGCGTGAACATTGTTTTTGGTCTCTGCTTGGATGACGACTACACCATAGCTCAGCGGTTAGAGCATCGCTGGCTACAAGCAAGGGTCCCTGGTTCGAGTCCTGGTGGTGACAGTCAATTTTTTTTCAGACTTTTCCCGTTTTGTCTCTTTCCCGCAAACCAGTGAACGTTGTTTTGTTCCTACTGTACCAGTTCTCTTTCTATGGTAAAGAGAGAGAGTGCTTGATAAGGGGCATGCATTCACTGTAATGGTGACAGGGCCCCGGCTGTTGTCATGGTACTGTCGTGGACATGGAAATCCGGTCGCACGTCTAGCGGCCCTAGGGTGCTGGCCATGCAGCCATGGATGAGCGGTACACGCATGCATTTATGCGCTGCAGCGCGCTGGTCGCAACGGATCAACAAGACTTTGTGCACTGCACGCAGCGTTCTGTTCGTGCTGAGGGCGCCGGCATCGGGCAATCGACTGGATTTCCCATGTCTACGACAGTAGTTGTACAGTCTCTTCACAATGGATAACAGGTTTGGTTCCGCTGATGCCCAATACCCACCGGACTTACATGTTCATGGGTTGAGGCAATGGAAAAGGGAAAAAGTCTGAAGAAAAAATTGACTGTCACCCGTGACCAGGACTCGAACCAGGGACCTTTGCTTGAGGCCGGTGATGCTCTAACGACTGAGATATGATGTAGCTGTCATCCCAGTAGAGACCGTTCAACAATGTACCTGCATGGAGAAGGAATGAGGAAAATGCACCGTGTGCAGCTACGGTGCTGCTTAATGAAATCCAGCCGTGTGCGTCAAGTGTGCGCCTTGCACCATTTCGCAGCCCAGTGTTCGCAGGTTAAGGGCTACGTGACGCCCAGCGCGTACTGGAGTGACACGACTGGATTTCATTGAGCAGCACTGTAGTACGACTGTATAGTCGAGAATACTTGAAAGTACATGACATGGGAATTGTTGCACTAGGTATTTATTTTATAAGGAAGAAAAAGGACCAAGGAACTACAAGTTACGCTACAATGTCCACTAACACCACCAGTTACTAAACAATCAGCTCATGCTATACCATTGCACGACACTGACCCTGGTCCTTTTTCTTTCTTATAAATTAATCCTTGGCTCTCCATCCGAGTCTATAGGTAGTTATTACTAGTTAATACAGACGACTAGAGTGTGAAGCGATGTGGCCTTCGTTCCTGTGATGTCCGCTCCAATCACCACGATGATAGGGAGGATTTATGAGTTTATGCAGCTCTTTGTTGTAAGTGTTTGGGGTGAGACTAGGGAGAAGACGTGCGGTCAGCACGAGGTGAAAATAAAACAAAAACCTATGTGAGAATGATGTACATTGGCCACGTCTTAGATTGCTGTGTCTTATTCCCACGCCAACACACCCACACCCGGGCACGTACCTAGCTTCCCGGCTTCCTGGCTCGGCTTATCCTCTCTGTGCTAGCATACTCAAACCCATGGGGCCAGACATACGTATCAGCATGTGTGGAGTACAACATAATCATTCTCTTCATTTAAACAAAGGGCGACTCTTTTCGCATCGTTACCATCAAATGACATTGTTTTAAGTACTAGTAAATTAGTAATCCAATGTCACTTCAGCTCGTCCTCCTTGTTGCCATATTCTCTTCATTTCCATTCTCTTCTTGTCTACACTGCAGTCTCCAAACTCAATACTAACGATGGACAACAGTACTGCCGGCGATTTTAATTCAACAAGTAAGTGTGTCCGTCTGTACTTTCAAGTTTCTTGAAGCTCTCGTACTTCCTCCAGAAACAAGAACTTCATGACTTTGATTTGATCCACCTTTCAGCTTCGGTGAGTTGAGCTCTGAGGGATCGAGCGATCGTGACTCTGAGTGGGACTGAAACGGTGCCAACCTCCTTTTACACTAATGTACACACTTCAAAGAAGTACAACTGCTCATTGTCTTCAAGTGTTTAGCTCCGCTGAGCCAAACCTTTTGAGCACAATAAGAATGTGAAGTCAAGAAGCTTTTTTTTGTTTCTGGAGTAAGAACTCTGTCTAGAGGAAGTACACTGCACATTCTTGTTGATCATGAAACACCAACGCAGAGACAAAAAAGTACTGGACACTACTAGTACCACTTCACCTACCATAGTTCTGTTTGTACACGTACATGCGATGGTCTGATGATTTGCACTCCATTGCTTTCTATCATCTAAAATCAATCGTGTGCTGTGCATTGGTGCGCTGGTGTCCGCCTGCTCCTGTGTGTGTGTGTGTGTGTGTGTGTGTGTGTGTGTGTGTGTGTGTATGTGTGTGTGTGTGTGTGCATGTGTGTTTGTGTGCAGTCACAGCCGCACGAATAGACTCCGACTGGGAGCTGTCCACGGTGGAGTGGGTGGTGTTCATAGCATGCCTGTGCAGCGTGCTGCTACTCGCAATGTTCATCGCCCTGGTCGGACGCTACCGCAATCAGCGGGACGACGACGATGACTGGCGCGAGGTCCCCGTGGCACGCAGAGCATCCAAGAAAGCGAGCACGTCATCAGCGGGTGGTGTGCGGACAATAGTCGGCGGGTCCACGTCGTCACAGCCGCAGGCCGTCATAGCGGAGAGTCCGAATCCACACATCGGATCGCAGTCCAGCATCTCCCCGATCGTTGTGCCGCACGAGCACGCCCGCGCCGTGCCAGCCGTGCGGCCCGGCGCCGCAAGCCTCTCGTCATCCGTTCCGGCGATCAACGTCACGACGCCTCCTGCCACGGCGTATCACCTGACTGCCGATCAGGCGCGGCGAGAACGAAACCGTCCCTCCTTGCCCTGGGAGAGCAACTCGAATCGAACGAGCAGCGGCGACAGGGCGCCCACGCCAATCATCTGGGGTGATCAGCAGCCGCCACCCGTCGTGTCTGAGCAGCGGGATCCCGTGTACGGCTACAGTCACTTGCACGGCGCAGGAAATCCAAACGCAGCGCAGCAGCGTGCTGCCATGCCCGCAACTGCCGAGGTCAACGGCGAGTACGACGATGTGCTGGCAGCTCAGGCGCGCTCGCATCGCGTCACCACGCCGCGGCAGAGTCACCACTATGACAATGTGGCAGCGTAACTAACGTTAGCGTCCTACGAATAGTCTTCCAGTCTTACAAACAGGTCACCAGTACCATCCATAGTGGCAATATGCCCACTGCGCAAATATGAATTGCACGAGTAGTGCATGTGAGTGCGCTGGGGTCAGGAATTCACTGTTCAACACCCCCAGACGATCATGGCCAGATGGCTGTGTGTGGGGTGTTTATGGTACAAATCACATCATTGTGTGTGTATGAGTGTGCATGTGTGTGTGTGTGTGTGTGTACATGTGTGTGCATGTGTGTGCGCACGTTTACACAGACGTGTGCATGCGTGTATGCATGTGGACTTGAGATGATCGGTTTACCGGCTAACCTAATGTTATTATGCTGTTCTTCTGCGTAAACTGTTAATGGTGTGGGCTCAGCACAGAAAGTATTCTCTCCAGCTCTCCACTGATTTTTGCCATTTTTCCGTTATTGTTGTCGGATTTACTAAGAGCTCCCCAGATCCCCTGCAGCGTTTTCCTTCCACGTGTGAACAGTTCCATTCCCCGAGCAGGCTCTCAGCTGAACAAAATGAATGACATGATTGTTGATTTACAAGTAAATATCAAATGCACCTTTCAGTGCTTGTGCTGACAGTAAAACTTCAATAATTATCCCATTTTTTTTAAATAAATTTCTTATCAGTGATCCTGTGACCACAATTTGAGTACATGTTTCTCGTCGCATTCTATCCGATTCTACTGTGATGGATTTCTACAATTTTGATAGGCTTGTGATATTTTATCTTGCAATAATATTCTAAATAGATGCTTTAAAAATATCATGTACACTCACGCTACGTTGATAATGCTGTGCATGCTGTTGTTGCAGCCAGACTGTTGAACATGTTGTCAAGATTCAAAGAACCAATTTTATGGATATGTACAGCTGAGCAGTATTGCCTAAGACCGTGAAAGAGCAGCAGCTGGACTGTTTCAACGGATTGCCGGCCACGCTATTCGGCTGGATAGAAGGTGCCAATAACTAATCACTAAGAACTCCCCTTTCCCGATTAATGCCATGTACTGGGAGATCGCCCAGTCACTGAATATGCTATCTAGCCGGCACTGCTTTGGTAAAGGCTCACCCCACCAGGACAGGAATATGCTATCTAGCCGGCACTGCTTTGGTAAAGGCACACCCCACCAGGACAGGAATATGCTATCTAGCCGGCACTGCTTTGGTAAAGGCTCACCCCTGGCACCAGGTCACCAATCCAGTCAGCAGGAGAGAAACCTTTGAGTGACTGCGTGGGATGAGAAGTCAGGCCAGCTGCTTTTGGCGGTTCCAGACAATCGTCACGACTGTACTTGAGCCTTCAAGTCATGCAGCAGCAGTGAGACTAGACATGACACATGTCTTGAGGCTGGACTCAATCCCCATAATATACCTACTACACCGGATGGTAAAGGTTGGTAAAAGTCATTTCCAGGTACTTATAAACTACTAAGTAGTCGTGTTTATCTCTGCTAGCTGTAAGAGGGCAGGAAACCATGTTTTGCTTATTCTCTACACAAACCTAGTAGTAGTACAGATCTTGCACTTGAACCCTCTTAGTCTTAGACTACTCTGGACTGTGTAATCCCTAGTAGTACCTCCAGCAGCCCTGCCCAGTACTAGGCAGTAGATCTAACTAGTACTGGGCATATTGGCCGTGACAATCCACCCAGGAACTGAGAAAAGTGCTAAATCAATGAGCATGTCACATGAATCTGCTCTTTGAGAGGTGCCTGATTAGTGATCACTACTGTATACCATGGTCACATGATACTGGGTGTTTAGAGGTACTTCAAGCTAGTGCTACTTGGTGATTGCAGTAAAGTTGCATGTACATACAAAGTAATAATTATTGTACCTCTGCACCATCTGGTCACCTTTAATTAATACTCAGTGTCACCGTAGGCTGTGGAAATCTGGGACATGTGACAGGGTAACAGACACTGTGAAGTGTACCAGGCCAGGTGTACAACTATGTCCTTGGAATTACTATAGTGCATCATGTCATTTCAATGACTTTGTCCTTGGCCATAGCCTCCATACCGATCACGTACAATCTAAGAAATGGCTTTCGGCTGCACCAACCTGGTTGCCTGTGCATGCACGCCAATTCTCTGCACACCCACAGAAAACCAAGACCTTGCTGGACCTCTTATGTACACTGACAAAAGAAAACGTCTGCCTGGGCTCTGTATGACTCAATGTTCTCAATGATGATAGTACCCTGGGTTATCAGTCCAGCTATGCACATACACATACACATGTACTGGTGTAGATAGTCACGGCAATATCCGGCATGGTAGCATCAAGTCACATACACGTTGAATGTCAATGGACTGGTAGCAGGCTCCTCTGTGAGAGCCATATCTGGCGGCACAGATCCTATTATTTTTCGATTGATAACTGGTCCAATTTAACTGTGACTTCCTGGTAGTATTTTATAATAGTACATCAAGCAACAAGAGGCTGTGCGTGATGCTTGACTGTTTATACCGTGCTTTAACCTAAAAGCTGAAGTGCACACTCGCCTCACAGCTGAGGCTTTGATGCAGATAGGAGCCACATGATTCTCTACGCAGCTTTCTACATATGGCTGCTGATCATAGTACAGTGCATCAACGACTTATCAATCAAAGTCAAGTAAAGACAGGGTCTCCTGGCAGTGCAGGGGAAAGCAGGTAAGCTATATTCTCAATTTCCGCATGGGTGCTACTCTCCTATCCGATGATTTCGCAATTGGTGTATATATCATGTACACTCTGGATGATGCCGTCTGGCTCCAGTATCATTTCCCGATAGCGTTGCGTGACAGGAGAGAAGCCCAACAGCTGACATGAGTTGGAGAAGGGGGTGCATGCCCTCTCAAGGGCCGACCCCGGCTTGTTCCAAGTGTCTAAAGGCCCGGCGTGTGCTTACTCACACACTGTGACAGCTGAGGAACGCCACGTAAGACTTGATGCTGCGGCGTGTTTGTAAACATATTGCTTAACTGTTGTGTTTCTTTCTCATGCTGGTCACTTGTCCATGAGAAGCGAGCTTAGGCGACCAACCTCCTTCTCACGCTGAAGATCTGGACAGGGATCGAAAAAATGGCAGCATTTGGGTCAGTAAAATTTCAAACGGAAAGAATTAGAAGCAAGACTATGGTATGTCGTCTAGCTATGGGCCTGTGTCCACTGCTTTAGCTGTAACAGTCTTCAAACAAATGGAACAATGTCGTTGGTAAATCAATATTAAAACCCTCACCCGGAGTGCCTCATACTCTCCCCCCCCCCCTCCCCCCCCCCCCTCAAAAAATAACCACAAGAAAGATTTTATAGTGAACAACGGAACATCGTCACTTTAGTCCAGGTCATCACCTACAAGTGAGTACAGTAAACACTCCCCAGGTCAGGGCAGGTTGGGACCAGCCCTGCCCGTACTCCCCAGATCCGGGCAGGTTGGGACCAGCCCTGCCCGTAACACGGAATTGCCCGTAACTCAGAACTTGCATACCTACTGCAGGCAGGGAGACATCTTTTTATGAAAATCAATAGTTTTGGGGACCGTTTTTGTTGAAAAGCCAATTTCTGTGACTCAAGATGGCGGGTCAGAAAGGTCCCCGGTAGACGGATGTGCCTGGATTAGGGACGTCCGGATCTGGGGAGTTTGACTGTATAAAGAGTGGTTTTATATCCCTGTCATGTGACTAAATATGTGCAGAAAGTGATCATGTCATGTGGACAGTGGAGCCAACATGGCCGACATCATGTGACCCGTAGGTTCAAGAGTTGAGTGGAGTTGGCGCCAACATGGCCGCCCCATATGGTCATGTGACAGATATGAAACCACTTTATAACACATGAGCAACTACTGTCGTTGACATGGAAATCCGGTCGTACGTCTAGCAGCCCCAGGGCGCTGGCCATGCAGCCGTGGAAAAGCGGTACACACATGCATTCATGCGCTGCAGCACGCTGGTTGCATCGGATCAACATGACTTTGTGCACTGCACGCAGCATTTTGTACGCGCTGAGGGCGCCGGCCCCGGTCAATGGACTGAATTTCCATGTCCGCTACAGTAGTAATCAATGCGGGAGGAGATCGCACACGCTGATCGTCAATCTAGGCTGAACAGTCCGCTCATAGGACTTACCCGAAGGTGCTGAGGTGCCGATAGATTGCCAGTCTGATAGATATCTGCATGAACATGCGGTGTTCAAACAGGACAACCGTTACTCGTATCTGCACTGGTCGGTACATACCAATAGCAACCGTGACTTGGTGGACAGAATACCTTTTTTGTTATGATTCTGAGGCTCATGCCAATTCATGACAAGACAACTGATGGTTCTAACCAGAAAACTGGTGATCGCGTTAACGAGTAAAGCCCGGAGTTGCAACAAATAACTCAGCGTTCCATTACGTTCGCAGTACTGTGTGTGTATGTGTGTGTGTGTGTGTGTGTGTGTGTGTGTGTGTGTGTGTGTGTGTGTGTGTGTGTGTGTGTGTGTGTGTGTGTGTGTGTGTGTGTGTGTGTGTGTGTGTGTGTGTGTGTGTGTGTGTGTGTGTGTGTGTGTGTGTGTGTGTGTGTGTGTGTGTGTGTGTGTGTGTGTGTGTGTGTGTGTGTGTGTGTGTGTGTGTGTGTGTGTGTGTGTGTGTGTGCGTGCGTGGGTGCGTGGGTGCGTGCGTGCGTGCGTGCGTGCGTGCGTGCGTGCGTGCGTGCGTGCGTGCGTGCGTGCGTGCGTGCGTGCGTGCGTGCGTGCGTGCGTGCGTGCGTGCGTGCGTGCGTGCGTGCGTGCGTGCGTGCGTGCGTGCGTGCGTGCGTGCGTGCGTGCGTGCGTGCGTGCGTGCGTGCGTGCGTGCGTGCGTGCGTGCGTGCGTGCGTGCGTGCGTGCGTGCGTGCGTGCGTGCGTGCGTGCG